ATCGCGACATCCTCATCCTCTCTGGCTTTAGTGGGGGTGAGGTTCTTAATCTAATGAACGTCTACTCGGACGATCAACACACAGCCATTGAGCACCTCGTTGCTCATGTGCATTCTCTTCCACCCTTCATATACATGGCAGGCGATTTTAACTGTGTTTTGATGACCTGGGATGATTATGATCATGGTGAGTCAATGACAGCAATATCTCTGCAGGACACTGCATCTCAGATCGGCCTCAAGTGGGCACAACCTTCTAACCACAGACCGACGAGGATCAGTCCCAATCCAAACCAGAGATCCAATGTGTTGGATCTTGTCTGCTTAGCTCCATCTGAGATCTTAATCTCAATGCCCAGATTGGAGCACGATCTCCAGGGTCTGTCAGATCATGTCCCGATCTGCACAGATCTTGATATCAGTCCTGAACCACCCAGATCTGGGCGACGGACAATTAAACCTGGAAGCGAGGCTGAGAAGTCTTTCATTTCAGATATTCTCCAGGATCGTGTGGCCATTCCCGTTGCAGCCCTGGCAACCAAGGAAGGCATTGAAGCTCTAGCCGATGCTATTGCAACAGCGTTCTCGGATGCATGGCTTGCCCACTTGACCAAGTCCAGACCTACCAAGTGCTCCAAGTCCTGGTGGACGGACAAGTGCTCGGATACATTCAGAGTGTATCAGTTGAGCCGTTTGCTGGCTGATTACAACAAGTTCAAGAAGGCATGTAAGAATGCCAAGCGTGATTTCTTCGATGAAGATATCACAGAGATTGCTACTTCTCGCAAGCGCCCATGGGACCTGATGTAATGGGTCAAGCAGCACAATCTACCACCCTGTGAGGCTATTCACAACAGTGAACAGCCTTGTCATGATATGGATGACCTCTGGGACACCCTTCACGGCATGTACAACTCGGCTTCTGGTCACAAGCATGACACCTCCATCTTAGACGAGCTTCCTGATGAGCCAGTCTGTGAGTGGGCTGACTTTTCGGAGCTTTTTTTTGTTTTTTTTTTTTTATCAACAACTTGTATAGCAGTGCTCAATGGCAGCCTGCTCACTATCTACAATCACGTACGCTACGCGGCCTGGGTACTAAGTAAACTACTGAAAGACGTCTGCCCCCCCAACCACGAGCCTTGTGGCTCAAACGCCTAAACTCCCACAAAGCCAGACCCACCTCGCGAAAACGGTGATGCAGGATAAGGGGAAGAGACCATCGAGGCCCCGCTAAACCCCAGAGTCATCGAACGCTGTTCGGAGGCCATGCAGCGCAAATGAAATAAGAGAGCACCACCCGGGAGGTGGCAGGGTGTCTTGAGGCTGACAAGCCAGAGAAGCGCCTGCCCGAAACCAGACGCAGAACATTAGCGGCGCCGCAACCCGCTACAATAGCAGGCTGCAAGCGCAGATGAATTGTCACAGGTGCAGGTCTTCGAACCCTAGGGCTCAGTGGTGTTAATTCACCATAAATCCCCCAAAAGGAGGAACAACCCCACCTGCAGCGATTATCCGACCCCTGAAGGGTCCCAGTTGAAGCCAAACACTGTAGGGTTGTGCTTCAAAAACGATGCAATATCCCCGAGAAAATGGGGATAATGTACAGAATATCTATCGTGGCAGTGAAAGAGGACGTGCTGACAGGACTGCAGAGCAGCCCAGCAAGTGCAGCCATGAGGCTCATTGATCTTGAAGCGGCGGTAATATGCTCCAATGGGCGCATGGCCAGTTATACACCAGCAAATGCGAGCGAACTCAGTGATACTGTCTCTGAAGGTTGAGAGCCAAGGTCCCCCATTGAGGTAGGATGGCTGAACTGGCTGCCCATCAGGCTGTTGAAGCTCCAAAAATTCAGAGCCCCGATAAGTTGGATCCTGGAAAGTGGAACTCCACAAATCCAGGGCTGAGTGTGCGGCTTGAGAGCAAAGCACATCTATGGAATTGTCTGTCTTACGACGTCCAACCCTGACTTTGAGTTCGGTGACATACTTGTGTGCCTCACCATAGATGTCCCAGTCAAGCAGGCAAACTGCCAACATATCATGGTGTTCACTGACTCTATGGGCTCGGCCCACAGAGCGGTGGACCCCTCCGTACACTCTGGTCAGACTTTTAGTCTGTCAGTTTGTCGCGCTCTCCAAGAGTGGTTCGAGGTGGATGATCTCTGCCGCATCACCTTTGTCTACGTTCCATCTGCTTTGCAGTGGGACATTCATGGTGAGGCACACAAGTACATCACCAAACTTAAAGTCAGGGTTGGACGTCGCAAGACAGACAACTCTATAGATGCGCTTCGCTCCCGAGCCGCGCACTCAGTCCTGGATTCGTGGAGCTCCACTTTCCAGGATTCAACTTACCGGGGCTCTGAGTTTTTAGAGCTTCAACAGCCTGATGGGCGGCTGCTACAGCCATCGTACCTCAATGGGGGACCTTGGCTCTCAACATTCGGACACAGTATCACTGAGTTTGCTCGCGTTTGCCGGTGTATAACTGGCCACGCGCCCATTGGAGCATATTACCACCGCTTCAAGATCAATGAGCCTCATGGCTGCACTTGCGGGGCTGCTCTGCAGTCCCGCCAGCACATCCTCTTTCGCTGTCATGATAGATACTCTGTACACTATCCCCATTTTCTTGGGGATATTGCATCATTTTTGAAGTACAACCCTACGGCGTTTGGCTTCAACCAGGACCCTTTGGGTGTCAGATGATCGTGGTGGGCGGGGTTATTCCTCCTTTTGGGGGATTTAGGGTGAATCAACACCACGGACCTTAGGGTTCAGCGGCCTGCGCCAACTTCACTTATTCGCGCTTGCGGCCCGCTATTATAGCGGGTTGCGGTGCCACTAACTTTCTGCGTCTGGTTTTGGGCAGGCGCTTCTCTGGCTTGTCAGCCTCAAGACACCTTGCCACCTCCCGGGTGGTGCTTTTCTTATTTCATTCACGCTGCGTGGCCTCCGAACAGCGATTGACGACTTTGGGGCATAGCAGAACCTCAATGGTTTCCTCCCCTTATGCCGATGCACCATTTTCACGAGGTGGGTTGCCCTCTGGGGAGTTTCGGCGTTTGAGCCCAAAGAGTCTTGGTTGGGGGGGGCGGTCGTCCTTTAGTGGTTAACTTAGCAACCAGGCTGCGTAGCGTACGTGTTCGTAGATAGCGAGCAGCCTGCCATCGAGCACCGCTAGATAAATTGTTGATCAAAAAAAAAAAAAAAAAAAAAAAAAAAAAAACCATGGATGTCCCATCGCAAAGCAGATGGAACATAAATGAAAGTGATGCAGCAGACATTGTCCACCTTGAACCACTCTTGGAGTGTGCAACAAACTGACAGACTAAAAGCCTGGCCAGAATGCATGTCAGGGTCGACTGCTCTGTGGGCCGAGCCCATAGAGTCAGTAAAGACCAGAATATGTTGGCAGTTTGCCTGCTTAAAAGCTAGGCGCACCACGCACGCAATGGCATTGAGTTCTGCATCAGGGGCGGTAACTCTGCCAGAGACATAGCGAGTCCTTTTGAGCTCACGATGTCCCTTGTAGATGATGGCAGCCAAAGCTGCCTGGTACTAGTTGGACTGAGGGACAGAGCCATCAGTTGCAGCCAGTACTGTCAGAGGGTTGGCCCTCGTTTTCGTGATGAGCTCATCGAGATATGGTCGTCAATCCTGGGTAGGATCACGCTTGTCAAAGTGGAGACGGTCTGCATAGCGGTCCAATAACCGATCGCCTGGGCGAGCTTCGGGCGCAAAGGGCTCGAAACTCTCAGTTAAGGTGTGGACGTGCTTGTCCACCTCCATGATGGTGCTCTTGACCTTCCCCCGCATAGCTGGGGTCATCAAGGCGGCTGAGTGGGCATCAGGCGTGGCCCGCTTAAGGAGTCCTTTGCCCATCATGGAACGAAGAGGGTGAGTGTCCAAGAGGGTGGCGACGCGGTACACTGCACGCATTGCCAACTTCTTCAGCATAAGGTGGACAGGAATGAGACCTGCTAGGGCCTCAAGACTGCCTGTAGGTGAGGTGCAGAAGGCACCTGTAATCCATAGAGCAGCTTTTCGCTGCATCCGTTTTAGCTGGTTCATCGCGCCCTTATTACGGGCGCCGTCGAAATACCAGAGACGATAACTGTATGTGGCGATGGGAACCACACACGACTGATATAAGAGGCAGTGCCGTTTAGGCGAGAGACCTCTAGTAGAGTTCCCGAGCATGCACATGGCCTGTACGGTGGTGAACGCCTTGGTGGCATAGTAGCAAACGTGCTCATGGAATGTGAGCCCGCGGTCAAAGTAGAAACCCAAGTACCTCCAATAGGTCTTGGGCTTCAAAGGTGTAGCGCCAGTATGCAGGGCATACCCCAAATCCAGCGAGGGATTGTAGGCATCTCGTCGACGCAAAAAGTGGAACAACTCAGTCTTGTTGTGTTCAAGAACAAGTGCGAAAGCAACAAAGAGGAGGTAGATAATTTTGTAGGCCTTACGCAGGCCCACATTATTATCATCGAGTTGTTTGGATTGGGCTAGAATGGTCCCGTCATCCACAAAGGAAAGCAGCGTCGTGTTGAGCGGCGCCGCTTTGATATAGAAGAGCTTCATTACCGGAGCAATGAACAGCCCAGAAATAACAGGCGAGAGAGCTGAGCCCTGCCCAACACCCACGTCCGCAGACCACGAGTTGGATTGGAAGGTGTTCCAGCAGTAAACTGTGGAACGACCAACAAGATAGGAGGCAAAGAACTCCACCAGAACCGGCAAGAACCCTTGCTTGCGAAGTACAGCCATGAACATCTCATGGTTGATAGAAGGGAAGAACTGCGCGATGTCAAAAGCCAGCGCGCTAGTCTGGAGACCCTTAACCCACCCTGCTCGCACGAGATGAGTCAGAATCAATCCAGCATCCTCAGTTGACCTTTGGCAAATGCCACCAAGTTGGTTAGGATGGAAGATATCATGCTTGACAGCGTCAAACTGTATCCTATTGGCAATCATCTTTTCGATAAGTTTACCAAAGGTGATGAGGAGTACGATCGGCCTGAAAGCCTTTGGTATGGCATAGGAGGGCTTGTTCAGCTTCGGAACGATAACTGATAGCGACTCCTTGAATATACGCGGCCAATGACCCACCCGAAGGCAAGCGTTGGCCAGCACGATGAAGAGTGCAAGGATGTGTTTATCCTTGAGCAGCTCCTTTAGGTGGACCCATGTAACATGGTCCGGTCCTGGTGCAGAGGAGTTGGAGCACCCCTTAAGGGCACTCAACAACTCATGCTCTGAGAAGTCAGCCCACTCGCAGACCGGCTTGTCGGGAAGTTCATCTAAGACTGAGGCGTCGTACTCACGACCAGAGGCCGAGTTGTACGTGCCGTGAAGGGTGTCCCACAGGTTGTCCATATCGTGGCAAGGCTGGTTGCCATTGCGAATAGCCTCACAGGGTGGTAGCTTGCACTGTTTGACCCACTCCATCAGGTCCCACGGGCGCTTGCGAGAGGTAGCAATTTCCGCGATGCGCTCATCAAAGAAATCACACTTGGCGTCCTTACACGCCTTCTTGAACTTGTTTTAATCAGCAAGCGAGCGGCTCAACTGATATACTCCAAATGTCTCCAAGCACTTGTCTGTCCACCAGGACTTGGAGCGCTTGGTAGGTTTGGACTCGGTCGAATGGGCAAGCCACGCGTCCGAGAATGCTGTCACGATAGCATCGGCTAAAGCTTCAACGCCTTCCTTGGTTGCCGGGGCTGCGACAGGAATGGCTGCAAGATCCCGGAGAATGTCCAAAATGAGAGACTTTTCAGCCTCGCTTCCGGGTTTAATTGTCCGTTACCCAGATCTGGGCGGTTCAGGACCGATATCAAGATCTGTGCAGATCGGGACATGATCTGACGGACCCTGGAGATCGTGCTCCAATCTGGGCATTGAGATTAGAATCTCAGATGGAGCTAAAAATACAAGATCCAACATGTTGGATCTCTGGTTTGGATTAGGGCTGATCCTCGTCGGTCCATGGTTAGAAGGTCGTGCCCACTCGAGGCCGATCTGAGATGCAGTATCCCGCAATGATATTGCTGTCAACGACTCGCCATGCTCATAGTCATCCCAAGTCGTTGACACGCAGTTGAAGTCACCCACCATATAGATGAAAGGTGGTAAAGAATGCACATGAGCAGCAAGGTGCTCAATGGCTGTGTGTTGATCGTCAGAGTAGACATTCATTAAGTTAAGAACCTCGCCCCCGCTGAAGAGGGAGAGGACGAGGATGTCGCGATGGTCGACGATGTCGCAGCGCATAGTGGGACGATAGCGGGAGAGCCTAGTCGAGACATAGGCGATCACGTGGGGAACTTCCCCCTCCTTAATGCACACCATTTGCAGCCAGTCCGGATGCTTTGGTGCGTCGATAACCTCATCGCCCTCCATACTAGTGGTGGACGGTGCGTGTCTTATGAAATTCCAAGGGGTTTCTTGGAAGAATAAAATATCAAATCTGTTTTTACAAATTTCGAGGAGAGTGTCTACGTGTGCATATGTGTGACGAACATTCTGACAGTAAATACGTAGCCTGCTATTTAGATCCTGCTGGTTTCCCAACATTAGTCTAGGTTCGGGGGTTAGTAAGTTGGCAGCGAGCAGTGTGCTCATGTACCTGACGATACTGGGCCATGATCCACTCACGGTTGTAGCAATGGGCCCAGAACTTGCACGACGCTGAGTTGGCGGCGTGGTCCTTGTGGCAGTTGACACAGCGGCCCTTGTGGGGGCAAGGCTGGTCGCGAGGGGTGGGCGGCACAGGAGGCTTCGCTTTCACGTTACCCTTGCAACATCCCGCATGCTGGCAGTGCTCCTTCTGCTCGTGCGGACCCAAGCAGATGGGGCAAGAGAGTTGTTTCGCCTTGCAGGCGACGGTGGGGTGGCCCCACTTCCAGCAGCGCTGGCATAGCGGGACCCCAGTGTGACGCGCAGCAGGCCTGATAGCGCAGGACCACCCAGTGAGGAAATTGGTTGGCCTAAGGCCTTCTTGGCTCAGGTTCCCTGCTGGGAGTCCCAGATGTTGCAGTACACGGTGCACGATGTCGAGTGCACCAAGTTGCGGTCGATCCGAGGCTTGGTGCTCAGATATGCGAAAGACCTCAGCATGAACCGAGGTACGGAGGGCCTTTTCAAGCGCCTCCTGGGTGATCTTCAACCCTTTCGGATCGAAGTAGGGAACATCAAGGATCTTTATGAAAGATGTCAACGACGGAAGTGCAACCTCGAACGGAGTACCTGTTGGGAGGCTTTCGCGGATGAAGTTGCGCAGTATGTCCAGGTCGGACGGGCTGGCAACAGCGGGGGTGACCAATGACAAACCGTCGTAGGCGCGGACGATGGAGGTGACCTTCAACATAGATTGCCCATCCCTGAGATATCCGTTGGCTGCACGGACAGCCGAGTCGGTGAAGAACTTCGTGAGGTCGGGAGGGGTACCCCCAAACGACAGGAGAACTTGCTTCCGGGTGGGGCCCTCGGAAGTGAAAGAAGGAACGGACTGATGAGGAGAAGTCTTCATCGGGCCCATTGGGAATGCGGGGGGAGGAGGAGAAGGCCCGCGACGCTGCGGTCCCAAGCCAGGAGGCGGGGGAGGCATTGGAGCGGCCTGTCGTGCGATCCCTGCCCACGTCATTGGACAGGGCTTGGGTTTGGTAGCGTGGTTGATCGGCGGAGGTGGACCAGGGCGAGAGTAGGCCACCTTGCTCTTCTTCTGAGGAGGAGGTGGGACCGGACGATCGACACCCTTACGCTTCTTGGAAGCGGGGATACGAGCAGGGGAGGCAGGGCAACCCAGGTCGTCCAATGCCTGCATGAGGACGTCAGGCGGGGCCCCTACATCAACGACACCCTCGTTGAGCGGCCCACAGGCTGCGGGAGGAGGAGGCCTGAAAACAGGAGCCAGGTGAATGGTCGGCTCATCCTTGGAAGACGTCTCAGCCTCAAGGAGAGAGGCGAGTGAGAAAAGTTGTTGAGTTCGCCTGGCCCACGAATATGACTAAAGTCAGTGGCCATGACAGCGTTCACAAAGGACGTCATCTGGGCCACAAAGGCATCGCCCCCATCGATGGTGAGCGGATTGTGGTGCGCGGCCCGCAGAACCCAGTCTGTGGCCTTCACAATGGAGGTGGTCAATACCTCGAGATCGCCAGGAAGATCCTCGACTGTGTCTCGGAACTTCAAGGCGTATTGACCTAGAAGAAGGTCGACAGAGGGGTCCCTCGAGACCTCCTCCCCTCCCTGAGTGCCCTCAACCTCCATCTCCTGGGGGTGGGCCGTCCCTGAGTCAGACTCATCTGCGGACGAATGGGTGGAACCCATGGTGGAACAGGACCTGCAGTGGGGCGACGTGTGGCGAGATCGAGCTGGCACGACTGTCGAGTATGTGGCCCTAGTCGAGGTAGGGTCTGGCAAGATTGGCAAGGCATCACCACCAAAAGACGATGAGCCAGCAACCGATGGTGGGATGGCTGGTGGTGCGGAGCCCAAGTCCCCCCCACGATGGCTCCTAGGAACTGCCCCAGGGGGCCTCGCACCTCAACCTCTCGGTGGGAGGTCGGACATGGTTTGCGATAGCGGTACGAACGATCAAAAGTAGTCTTCTGGCTTGTCAATAAAGCGCTAGACGATGTGCGAGACGGTGAGCTGGTTGTTTGTGCTTGTTGACAAGTGGGCGTTCGAGAGAAAGAGGCGCTGATGCGATATCCTGACAGCGGCGAGCAAGGCACCCTTTTTTAACATGGGCCAGCTGATCAGTATGGACCTTTGCAACATCATTGGGTTAGTTAAGACTCATGAAATACCACTTGAAACTCACCTTTGATGCCTGCGTCAACCAGATATTGCCGTGCTTCAACCATTTCTCAAACGCATGCTTGAGTCTTTTCTCCTGCTCATCCTTTTCCCAATACTTTGCTGGCCCATTCTTTCCAGCTGGTTGTTTTATTATGGAATTTTGGATGTCTAGAAGGACTTGGCTTCGGTATGGATTTTGTGCTCCATTTATGAGGACACTGCCATATCTTTGAGGTAGTATTAATTTGCCAATCTAGTAAATTCCAACCTGTGCAGGAGCACTCACCGACTCATGAAATGATGCACGTCAAGAACAACATCTGAGCCTGGCAGCCCACCCGACACATGCCAACGGACCTGGCAGCAGTTATCAACAACAACAGTGTTTGGCTGTGGGACTTGAAGCACGTCGTGGCGCTTCTTTATTCCCTCCAAGACTTTGCGGGTTTCTTCTGGAGAGGCACTCTGACAGAAGCGCTGAAGATAGCTGATTGTTAGATTAAAATATAAGTGACATTACCATGAACTACGCACCCAGGCCAGCATTTCACTTCTTTCATTGATGACACTCAAAATGCCACCCTTAAACATTTTGGTACGAGTCTTATCCTTTTCAAGTATTACTGCCTTTTTAGCAGACCTGAAAGTGTTGTCAAGCGAGAGGCATTTCCCTAAGCATTTGAGCGTATAGTAAGTTACATGCATTGTCTCATGTGCAAGCTATACTTACCTGTTCTCGTCTGACAGTAATTGTGGGATTCTCCCTCACGCATCTTCTTAATGAAGTCAAGGTAGATATCCGTTATCAAGTCGTTGGTTATGAAGGCATCACTGTAGCCACTTTCCTGACCAGGCTCAGAAAACATCTCAAGGTTGGTTCTCTGGCCTGGAAATGGGTGAGGATGGGCAGCTTCGAAGCAGGAGAGGTACTCCAGTTTTCGCTCATAATACTCTAGCAGGTGCAGTTCTGATAATCATGTCCAGTTAACGTCATTCCATGTCTTCCCCTGGTAATTTCACTTACACTTGAATTGTTCTGCAAGACCAGCTGACGTTGATGATGGTTGTAATTCGACTATTAGGTCATAAAGTTCCCATGTAACTGCTGTCCTTGTCATGAAGTATGGGATATTTCCTAATGGTCATGAACATCAATGTGAGTTCCTCAGGCTTCTTCTATACATATCAACTCACTTGGTATTCTCCAGTGCTCCCACTTTTTCCAGAATAGACAACTAGTTGTTGCGAAGCAGTACCCTGGTGCGTTTGGCTCATCACTCTGCTCTGAGCTGCCTTTCCCATATTTGGCCTTGCACTCCTTGCAGCAGAGCTGATATCCAAGTGCGCGCTCTTCTCTCCAAACTCCATGGACCTCACGGGCACCAGTTGCGGTCCAACCATCCCATAAAGTCTTGTTTGACCCACATGCAGGGCAGCCATCTAGAGCACTGGGATAGAACACTGGGTGAATGACTGTGAGAGGCATGAGGTAGGCAGTTTCTGGCATGATTCTTGGTGTTGGACTCCTTCTCATGAAGTGCAGATATGTTGACGGGAAAAAAGGCGGCCCAAGAAGGGGAATATCTGTTCCGAGACTAGGAGCAACTGGTGCTTTCGAATTCTTGTGCAATGAGGTTTGCTGATGAAGGTAGTCCATGTATTCAACAATCTCGGCCTCCCATTCTAGCTGGTGCCTGCTCCTTGACTGCTTGTCTCGGTGGTTAAGCCAGCCATTCAAGCGTTTATCAAGCTGATGAAACGGTCATTTGCAAGCACTGGATACTAAGTTTCAGGCCACATACATTCGCCTTCCAATTGCTCTCAAACTGTCACTTCTCGGCCAGTGTTCCTGCCAGGTTCTTCAGCATCTTCCTCACAATGCATGGCTCAAAAACATCTCCAGAGATTGACTTTTTTTGTTTTTTTTTTTTTATCAACAATTGATATAGCAGTGCTCGATGGCAGCCCGCTCACTATCTACAAACACGTACGCTACGCAGCCTGGGTACTAAGTAAACTACTAAAAGACGTCCGCCCCCCCAACCACGAGCCTTATGGCTCAAACGCCTAAACTCCCATAAAGCCAGACCCACCTCGCGAAAACGGTGATGCAGGATAAGGGGAGGAGACCATTGAGGCCCCGCTAAACCCCAGAGCCATCGGACGCTGTTCGGAGGCCACGCAGCACAAATGAAATAAGAGAGCACCACCTGGGAGGTGGCAGGGTGTCTTGAGGCCGACAAGCCAGAGAAGTGCCTGCCCGAAACCAGACGCAGAAAGTTAGCGGCGCTGCAACCCGCTATAATAGCAGCCGCAAGCGCGAAAGAATGAAACGGGCGCAGGTCTCCAAACCCTAAGGTTCGAGGGTGTCAATTCACCGATAAATCCTCCAAAAGGAGGAATAACCCTGCCCGCAACAATTACCTAGTTGAAGCCAAACACTGTGGGGTTGTACTTCAGAAACGATGCAATATCCCCAAGAAAATGGGGGTAATGTACAGAATATCTATCACGGCAGCAAAAGAGAATATGCTGGTGGGACTGCAAAGCAGCCCCGCAAGTGCAGCCGTGAGGCTCATTGATCTTGAAGCGATGATAGTATGCTCCAATGGGCGCGTGGCCAGTTATACACCGGCAAACACGGGCGAACTCAGTGATACTGTGTCCGAAAGTTGAAAGCCAAGGTCCCCCATTGAGGTACGATGGCTGTAGCGGCCACCCGTCAGGCTGTTGAAGCTCTAAGAATTCAGAGCCTCGGTAAGTTGGATCCTGGAAGGTGGAATTCCACGAATCCAGGACTGAGTGTGCAGCTCGAGAGCATAGCGCATCTATAGAATTGTCCGTCTTGCGACGTCCAACCTTGACTTTAAGCTTGGTGACGTACTTGTGTGCCTCACCATGGATATCCCACTGCAGAGTGGACGGAATGTAGACAAAGGTGATGCGGCGGAGGTCATCGGCTTCGAACCACTCTTGGAGAGCACGACAGACTGACAAGCTAAAAGCCTGACCAGAATGCACGGAAGGGTCAACCGCTCTATGGGCTCAGCCCATAGAGTCAGTAAAGACCATAATATGTTGGCAGTTCGCCTGCTTAATAGCAAGGCACACTGCACACGAGATGGCATTGAGTTCCGCATCCAGGGCGGTAACTCTGCCAGAGACATAACAGGTCCTTTCGAGCTCACGATGTCCCTTGTAGATGATGGCTGCCAAAGCTGCCTGATACTGGTTGGACTGAGGGACAGAGCCATCAGTTGCAGCCAGTACTGTTAAAGGGTCGGCCCTCACTTTAGCGATGAGCTCGTCTACATATGGTCACCTATCCTGGGCAGGATCGCGCTCGTCAAAGTGGAGACGGTCCGCATAGCGGTCCAGTAACCAATCGCCTGGGCGAGCTTCGGGCACAAAGGGCTCGAAGCTCTCAGTTAAGGTGTGGACACGCTCGTCCACCTCCATGACAGTGCTCTTGACTTTCCCTCGCATAGCTGGGGTCATCAAGGTGGCTGAGCGAGCGTGTGGTGCGGCCCGCTTGAGGAGTCCCTCGCCCATCATGGAGCGGAGGGGGTGAGTATCCGAGAGGGTAGCGACATGATACACTGCATGTGTTGCCAGCTTCTTCAGCATAAGATGGACGGGGATGAGACCTGCCAAGGCCTCAAGACCGCCTGTGGGTGAGGTGCGGAAGGCACCGGTAATCCATAGAGCAGCTTTTCGCTGCATCCATTTTAGCTGGTTCATCGCACCCTTATTACGGGCGCCATCGAAATACCAGAGATGATAGCTGTATGTGGCAATGGGAACCACACATGATCTATATAAGAGGCGGCGCTGCTTAGGCGAGAGACCTCTGGTAGAGTTTCCGAGCATGCGCATGGCCTGCACGGTGGTGAACACCTTGGTGGCATAGTAGCGGACGTGCTCATGAAACGTGAGCCCACGGTCGAAGTAGAAGCCCAGGTACCTCCAATAGGTCTTGGGCTTCAAAGGTGTAGTGCCAGTATGCAGGGCGTACCCCAGATCCAGCAAGGGATTGTAGGTGTCTCGTCGACACGAGAAGTGGAACAGCTCGGTCTTGTCGTGTTCAAGAACGAGTGCGAAAGCAACAAAGAGAAGGTAGATAATTTTGTAGGCCTTACGCAGGCCCACATTATTATCATCAAGTTGTTTGGATTGGGCCAGAATGGTCCCATCATCCACAAAGGAAAGCAGCGTCATGTTGAGCGGTGCCACCTTGATATAGAAGAGCTTCATCACCGGAGCAATGAACAGCCCAGACATAACAGGCGACAGGGCTGAGCCCTGCCCGACACCCACGTCCGCAGTCTCCAGAGATTGATGTAGCTGGAGTTCAGAGACGAGTAGGCAAAACTCGAAACATTTGACTCCTCATATATATTGCCAATTTCTTAATGATCGCCTCTGCCACCTGATCACTTAGCCCCTCGTCCCTGTACCACTTTGCTTCAGTCTGTACCATATATGTGATTGCCTGATGCTCTGATTTACATAGAACCCTTGAATACACCACTATTATAATAGATTTTAGGGCTGGCGTTCTCCTAGCACTGAGGTATGTAGCCTTCTCATGCGATACCAAGTCTAAGAAGGGTGTCGGGCAGGGCTCAGCTCTCTCACCTGTTATCTCAGGGCTGTTCATTGCTCCGGTGATGAAGCTCTTCTACATCAAGGTGGCACCGCTCACCACGACGCTGCTTTCCTTTGTGGATGATGGGACCATTCTAGCCCAATCCAAACAACTCGATGATAATAATGTGGGCCTGCGTAAGGCCTACAAAATTATCTACCTTCTCTTTGTTGCTTTCGCACTTGTTCTTGAACATGATAAGACTGAGCTGTTCCACTTTTCACGTCGACGAGACACCTACAATCCCTCGCTGGATTTGGGGTACGCCCCGCATACTGGCGTTACGCCTTTGAAGCCTAAGACCTATTGGAGGTACTTGGGCTTCTACTTTGACTGCAGGCTCACCTTCCATGAGCATGTCCGCTACTATGCCACCAAGGCATTCACTACCATGCAGGCCATGCGCATGCTCGGAAACTCCACCAGAGGTCTCTCCCCTAAACAGCGCTGCCTCTTATATAGATTGTGCGTGGTTCCCATCGCCACATACAGTTATCGTCTCTGGTATTTCGACGGTGCCCATAATAAGGGCGTGATGAACCAGCTGAAACGGATGCAGCAAAAAGCTGCTCTATGGATCATGGGTGCGTTCCACACCTCACCCACAGGCGGTCTTGAGGCCCTCGCTGGTCTCATCCCCGTTCATCTCATGCTGAAGAAGCTGGCGACACGCGCAGTGTATCGCGTCGCTACCCTCTCAGACACTCACCCTCTCCACTCCATGATGGGCGAGAGTCTCCTCAAGCGGGCCACACCACATGCCTGCTCAGCCGCCTTGATGACCCCAGCTATGCGAGGGAAAGTCAAGAGCACCGTCATGGAGGTGGACGAGCGTGTCCACACCTTAACTGAGAGCTTTGAGCCCTTTGCGCCTGAAGCTTGCCCAGGTGATCAGTTACTAGACCACTATGCGGACCATCTCCACTTTGACGAGTGCGATCCTGCCCAGGATAGGTGACCATATCTCGACGAGCTCATCGCGAAAGTGAGGGCCGATCCTTTAACAGTACTGGCTGCAACTGATGGCTCTGTCCCTCAGTCCAACCAGTATCAGGCGGCTTCGGCTGCCATCATCTACAAGGGACATTGTGAGCTTGAAAGAACTCGCTATGTCTCTGGCAGGGCTACCGCCCCTGATGCGGAACTCAATGCCATATCGTGCACAGTGCGCCTGGCCGTCAAGCAGGCAAACTGCCAGCATTTTATGGTCTTGACTGACTCTATGGGCTCTGCCCACAGAGCGGTCGACCCCTCCATACACTCTGGTCAGGCTTTTAGTCTGTCAGTTTGTCGCGCTCTCCAAGAGTGGTTCGAGGCGGATGATCTCCGACACATCACCTTCGTGTACGTTCCCTCTGCTTTGCGGTGGGATATCCATGGTGAGGCACACAAGTACGTCACCGAACTCAAAGTCAGGGTTGGGCGTTGCAAGACGGACAATTCTATAGACACGCTTTGCTCTTGAGCTGTGCACTCAGTCCTGGATTTGTGGAGTTCCACTTTCCAGGATCCAACTTACCGAGGCTCTGAATTCTTAGAGCTTCAACAGCCTGACAGGCGGCTGCTACAGCCATCATACCTCAACAGGGGACCTTGGCTCTCAACATTCAGACACAGTATCACTGACTTCACTCGCGTTTGCCGGTGTTATGAGTTCTTATGTAAGTAAGACTTGTTCTTTCAACCTGGGACGCAGAGATCATTTTACTTTCCCACATTACGGTCATCCATGCCTTTTTTCCCACAGTAAGTATTACATTGATGGCATAGCTACATTTTCAATAGTTCACTACATTTTTACTGGCTACTGTAGTAATTGTTCAGCCACTGCCACCTGCCCCTCTCACCCCATGACCACCTGCTTGCCCTCCTCACCCTCTGCCTCTTGCCCCTACCAACAGCCTTCAAGGACACCAAATGACACCAAACACAGAGGTTCAGTGTTGTTTGCACTCGTTCTGTGTCCTGCCTGCCTGCCCATCTAGCACTGCCTGCCTCTCGCCTTCCGCCACCACCACCCCCTCCTCTCGCCCCTCCGCCACCATCTGGAGGAGTCCAGATGATGGTGGTTGTGAAAGAGGAAGGGGCCCAGCAAATTTTGCAAGTGTTTGTAGAGATGCAAACAAATGACACACGAAAACTCTTGGAGAGTTTTTGTGCGTCATAGGTCCCACACCCCCAGGGGCCATCCCACCAGTGCACGAATGGCCCCAAACTGCAAGGCTCAGGGTCAGTCCCACGCCTTCTCGCCCTGCCGCCTGCCTGGTTCACCCCACCCCCTCGCCCTCCTCACCCTCCGCCACCGTGTCTCGCCATCCGACACCCCTCGCCCATCCAAACGCCCCTGAAGAGCCCCAACAACAATGAACGATGCTGAAGCTCTCATCCTCTAAAAAAGTTCACTTTCAGAACATCATGAAACAGAATAGATATATATTGAGAATAATTATGTGAAATACATGTTCCAGGAAGCAAAGGCCAAGTCATGAGTATGAATGAGAGAACACTGTTGTTGAGTCACAGAGGTGGTTGTTGTTGACTTGTGGAGGCTGTCATCAAGTAGCACAATATGATGATGAACGGGTGGGGTCTCCATAGACGCGCTGCGCTCCCGAGCCGCACACTCAGTCCTGGACTCGTGGAGTTCCACTTTCCAAGATCCAACTTACCGAGGCTCTGAGTTCTTAGAGCTTCAACAGCCTGACGGGCGGCCGCTACAGCCATCGTACCTCAATGGGGGACCTTGGCTTTCAACATTCGGACACAGTATCACTGAGTTCGCTCGCGTTTGCCGGTGTATAACTGGCCACGCGCCCATTGGAGCGTATTACCGCCGCTTCAAGATCAATGAGCCTCATGGCTGCACTTGTGGGGCTGCTTTGCAGTCCTGTCAGCACATCCTCTTTCGCTGTCGCGATCGATACTCTGTACATTATCCCCGTTTTCTCAGGGATATTGCATCGTTTATGAAGTACAACCCTACAGCGTTTGGCTTCAACCGGGACCCTTCGGGGGTCGGATGATTGTGGTGGGCGGGGTTATTCCTCCTTTTGGGGGATTTAGGGTGAATTAACACCACGAACCTTAGGGTTCGGTGACCTGTGCCAACTTCACTTCCTTGCGCTTGCGGCCCACTATTATAGCGGGTTGCGGCGCCGCTAACTCTCTACGTCTGGTTTCGGGCAGGCGCATCTCTGGCTTGTCGGCCTTAAGACACCCTGCCACCTCCCGGGTAGTGCTTTCTTATCTCATTCGCGCTGCATGGCCTCCAAACAGCGATCGACGACTTTGGGGCATAGCAAAACCTCAATGGTTTCCTCCCCTTATCCGATGC